AGAAGAGAAAGTTAAAGAATAGAAGCAACAACTTGTACTTTAATGTACATAAACATGCTGTACAGCTAAAAGTATTGGCGGGAAATTAATAATAGTACATTGTTAAAATTGTTACATGTATCAAGCAGCCGCCAAAATTAAATGTGTCATTTTGCTTCATTGTAAGTATGCTCAATGACACATGGTCATTAACATAAAATCCACCAAATACATGTACAAAATTTATCAAATAGTTATAACTCCTGTCAATATTTCTGGCTGTACAATGAGTGTACATGTACATGTAAAATCGAGGTCATAAATAGTTATTGAAGTTGATAATGATTATTATTATAATAATTACCTCATAGATACAGCTGTTATTGTCTCAAGTGGAAGTTTCCTCTTCACAACTTCAACAAACTGACCTTTATGTGATCCTTTCTTTATCTATCAAAAAATAAAAGAATAACTCTAACTCAAAAAATACTTAATATAAATTTAATTTTATTATTTTATTTTGTTTGCTTACTTTTTCTCTACCAATGAGGTACACAAATTGTGCTGACAGTAGAAGATCTCTTTTGGTGCATTTGAATCGTCTGTCATATTTATTGACAGTTTGAGCAAACTCTATCCTCTCACGTTTACCTAATGAATAAATAAATAAATAAATAAATATTAATTAAAGTTGGGTCAGACATGAGGCAATAACAATTATTAATAAAATAATACATTCCTTTCATTGTTACCAAATCCGTGACATGCAAAAACCAATTTGCTATATGTACATGTACTTTTTAAATGGCCATAACTTGATAACCTTAAGTTGGAACAAAAATCTGACGCACACACGCATGCACACACACACACACAAAAACAAACACACAGCATAAGGACATCAATATGTATCAGAAAATGTGATAAAAATTTGGGGTGATTTTGGAGCCATTTTTTGGAAAAAAACCTATAGTACAGGGTATTTTTCAGAATTTTGGCATTTTCTTCAAATGGCTGTAACTTGAAAAATTGAAGTCGGAATTAGCTCAAACTTTCTACACAACATAAGGACCTCAATATGTATCAGAAAATGTAACAGAAATTTGGGATGATTTTGGAGCCATTTTTTGGGAAAAACCATGGGCTATAGTACAGAGTATTTTTCAGAATTTTGGGGTTTTCTTCAAATGGCTGTAACTTGAAAATTTAAAGCCGGAATCAGCTCAAACTTTCTATGTAGCATAAGGGCATCAATATGTATCAGAAAATGTAACAGAAATTTGGGATGGTTTCGGAGCCATTTTTTGGAAAAAACCATGGGCTATAGTACAGGGTATTTTTTAGAATTTTGGTGTTTTCTTCAAATGGCTGTAACTTGAAAATTTAAAGCCGATATCAGCTCAAACTTTCTATGTAGCATAAGGGCATCAATATGTATCAGAAAATGTAACAAAAATTTGGGATGATTTCGGAGCCATTTTTTGGAGAAAACCATGGGCTATAGTAACAGGGTATTTTTCAGAATTTTGGCGTTTTCTTTAAATGGCCGTAACTTGAAAATTTTAAGTCGGAATTAGCTCAAACTTTCTATGTAGCATAAGAACATCAAAATGTATCAGAAAATGTAACAAAATTGGGGGTGATTTTGGAGCCATATTTTGGAAAAACCATGGGCTATAGCCTTGGGTATTTTTCAAAAATTGGCTCTTTTTAAAAAATGCTCACAACTCAAAAAATATTTGTTGGAATCAGCTCAAACTTTCTACATAGCATTAGGACATCAATATGTATCAGAAAATGTAATAAAAATTTGGAGTGATTTTGGAGCCATTTTTTCGAAAAAAAACATGGTGTAACTTAATGTGTTACTGTATCTTTTTGTATGAAATTTGAGGATAATGACCCAATTTAAATGGGCTATAGCCTTGGGTATTTTTTTAAAATTGGCTCATTTTTTAAAACTCTAATAACTTGAAAATTATTTGTTGGAAGCAGCTCAAACTTTCTACATAACAATTTTTCTCTTTAAATCACAAAGCCAAACTAAAATCTCCAAACAATATGCTGTACATTTTGTTATTGTCAATAAACTGAAACAAAACAATAAACTGAAAGTAAAGACTCACCAACAAGAGCACGTAGGGCAGGATCATCAGCAAACCCGAGATAATCACCAACAAAATTCCTATTAATACTCAACCTCTTCCTCTCCTTCTTATTCAACAATATATCAGACGCTGCAGAGAATTAAGAGTTACAAGTGTGATGTATTGAATATATGAATGTACATACCTGTATAGTACAATGTATGCATTTACATGTATGTATTGCGTGTATATACATGTACATGTACATTGTACATGTACATGTATGTATGTGAAAAGTGTAGTACATGTAGTTTATATTCATTGGTGATGCATTGAGCATATGAATGTACATGTACATGCATGTACATAAAAAGTGTAGTGTATGTATAAGAGATGTACATGTAGTTTATATTCATTGTTGGTTATTAGGTTCGAGTGTATTTATTTTAATTACCTCTCTCCTTCAGTGTCTGGTAGTACTGGTCTGACCGGTGACGACGCCATGCCTTCTGGATCCTACGAGCATAAGCATCATACTTCCTCTCTCTGAGCTCCTCCAATAAGAATAACTAGAGAATAATAATAATAATAATGATAATTAATTTAATTTTAAACTGAGGACAATGGATGAATAAAAGAGAATGAAGAAGATTACTATATAAAGCTGGTAATTTTGGTGAATTTGGCATTTTAATAGCTATTCACCAAAAATAAAACCCATAATTTCGAACTTTTCTGTTCATGCTCAATGACACATGGCCACAAATTCACCAAATTAAAACCAGCTAAAATATCAAAAATTTAGCATTTTACCAAAATTTTATCCCTCCAAAATCACCAGCTATACCATAAGCCACAATAAAAAATAACAAAAATAAAAAAAAGATGGAAAAGAGAGAAGAGTAAAAATAGAAAGAAAGAGGGGGAAGAATAAAATTAAATAAAAAGAGAAAATAAGATATTTCAAATAGTGCCAATACTCACTGATTCAGGACTCTTAATGAACACTTTAGTCTTCCCCAGCTGCCACTGGTCCGGCTCCATGTTGACTGACATCATCAAGTGTCGTATACCATCCTGGACTGGACCAGTCCAACGAGGATAAGTCTCAGGAGTCAGTAATGCATACCTGCCAATGGACAGAATGAACAACTGTATATACAGTATCTACATGTACATGTACATGTACATGAGAATGTAGTTCAATACTAGTACATATACATGTACATGTACATGTATGTACAATAATATGTATATGTACATTGTATATGTAATTGAATAATATGTGCATGTAATATGTGCATGTACATATTACATGTAACTATAATGTACATGTACATGTATTTTGCCTTAAAAGTTTTGTTTATACACATAAGCAAATTTTTCAAAAAAAAATCCCAGTAAAAAAGTACAAAAACCCAACTACATGTACTGGAATTAGAAATTAGTCTGAAAAATGCCCTAGTACTAAATGCAAGTACATGTACATGTACATGTACATGTGAAGCAACTGCAGTTTAGGACAATGCTTAATGCACACATAAATGTAAATGTACATGTACATGATGTACATGAACATGTGTGTACCTTCTTAAGAATTTAGCAAACTCTCTTCTGAAGGCATAGCCTGCTCTTCTGACTCTTATGTTCTCCTTAAGACCAAGATACTCAACTTGATGTCTTACCCTAACAGAGGAAGAGAGAAAAAATAGAATAATAAAGAAGAAACAAAACAATTAAAGGAAATAGATAAAAGAGAAGGGAAGAAGGAAGAGAGAACAGGGAAAGGGAATAAGAGTATAAACAATAAACAACACTAAAGTACAATATTGTGTACATGTACAGACAAAGAACATGAATAGAACTATACATTGTACACTCATTGTTGGATCTAAATAAATTTTGGAAGACTAGTCCAACTAAAAACAAATTTTGGGAGGATATAGTCTAACTAAAAATGGAGACTTAAGGAGATTTCAGGAGACTTATTTAGGTCAAATGTGGGAGACCAAAATCTCTTAAGATCTAACTGTGACTATAATTTTATACACATCTTTATATTTTCATACATTTCTATACATGTACATGCATGTAGTATGTCCATGGTATGCGTGTCCAATGTACATGTACATGGTAAGTGTACCTGTCTTCCTCCCAGTCGTGAGGTTTCTTTGTCTCGTTTGGTTTAATGCAGCGAATATAATGAGGAGTGCACTTCATTAGACGACCAACAAGATCATTGGCTTGAGTCTAAATAAAATGAAGAAATTGAGAAAGAAGAAAGGGAAATGAAATTAAAATGCAAATGATTGAGAGGTAGGGAGAAGGATACATACTGTACACGTAGAAGTGATAAAAAATACAATGTATCAGTGTTTTTGATAAGTGAATGACCCACAATTACAATGTCATTTTGGGTCAATTTGGAAATTCACAAAATATAAACATTAACTCTGCTACTTTTCATTAAAGCAAAAAACAGTGATTTGGTTTAAAATGTGAGCAAATTTGATATTAACACAAAATCCAATTTCTTATCAAAAATCATGAAACACAGTAACATAGTGTGTACATGTACATTACAATGTACCTTAATCTTGCTACCAGCAGTAGTTGGCCTGGTTTTCTTATCAGGACTGATATCATCAGGAAACAATGAACGAATAAACTGACTATATAACATAAATATTAATACATTAATATATTCTCACATATACATGTACATGTATATGTACATGTACATGTATATAGTGTATCATTATTTACTAACTTTTGGCTGGCCTGCATCAACTCAATACAATCCTTGAATAATACATCTCTGTTCTTCTCACAGAATCCATTACAATCGTATGTTACCTAAACAAAGCAATGTATGTATTTAAACTGAGGGGGGAAATTATCAATATTGAGCAAGGGGAAATTGTGTAGTAAATATACTAATGGGGGGTTGTGCATAAACACACACTCTGTGTCTTTAAATGGAAGCTCCACACAATATATGTACATTATTTCTACAAATAAAGATTATCAAAAATTAGCTATCGGATATTGGCCTAATACAACAAAGTGATAGCAATTTAAAAGTATAAGTAAACATGCCCATATCATAGAGTTGATAATATACATGTATATACATGTACTGTAATTTAGTGCTTTTAATATCAATTAATAGCATGTACATGTACATGTATAACAAATAACATAGGCAGTTGGACATCAAAATTTTCCGATCATTTTGCTCAATTTTCTGACCTCTGTGTTGTTCTACCATTTTGTCTGAACAACTTAATTTTTGAAATAAATTCTAAATAATTATTAAAAGCAATTTAAAATCATAACATGTGTTCTACCACAGGGATTCCCACAAAGCATTGAGCTGACAAGTACTACAATGGAGTACATGGCATTTGGAGCAACTTTTAAAATTCATAAAAAATCCAAACTTCATCGTAATCAGCTCAAAGTTGATACACAACATAAGGACATGTATATGTATCAGAAAAAATTATAAAAATGGAGATTTCCCTCCTTGCCATTTTTGACAAAATTTGGCCATTGACCCTGTACTATAGTACAGGGACTTAAGCAATGATCAAATTAAGCAATGTTCATGCAGACACAATGTCTAGCATGTAATTACAGGCCCTGCAGCATTAAATGCATGTACAATACATGTACATGTACATGGAAATAAATTAGTGTGTGTATACTACATTAATGTACATGTACCTTCCCAGCATAATGCTGAATAGTGAATCCTCCACTGAAACCAACATAGTACTCCTTACCAGGCAAAGGCTCACCACCTAATTTCTGCAACAAACAAACAAATAAATAAATAAATAATCAAGAGTAAATTAATACAATATTAGTGATTTCTTGGAGGAACTAATCATTACATTTCAAAGATGTTAACATCATTATCACAGCATGTTATACATGTACATGTGCATTGACTATAGATTACTTCAACGAGTTTAATGTCAGCTCCTTCGGACTGGCCGTGCATCTGGAAACAAATGTCATCCAATATGGACATGATACCAGGTGGACGCTAGCAAATAAAATAATGATAATAATTATAACAATTTAATTATTAATAGTATATATATATACACGTACATGTACATGTAAGTACAGTATATATAGTAGTAAGAAAACTAAAAATACATGTACATGCAATTCAGATTTTTTTTCTACAGTTTTTCTTTAACAATTATAACATGATATCCTCATCAATTCATAACCTTCTTAATTTTTTGCGTCCTAAATAAATTTTTCCATGTACAATTACATGTACATGTATAATTTACATGTAATTAATATTGTTTACTTTTCATTGCTGATAATACATGTACATGTAATTACGACAGCAATGATAAAATAATAATAATAATAACAATAATTGTAAATCTTACTTTGCTCTCAACCAGTTCACAGACTATCTTGTTATTAAAGTAATCAATTGGAGTCCATTTGATTCCCTCAGACACATACTCCTCTTGCTCAGCCTTCAAAGTCAGCTCAATAAAGATCTGCTGTAGCTTCTCGTTCACAAAGTTAATGCAAAACTGCTCAAATCCGTTTTTCTATAAAAAGAATAGAGGATTAATTATTACTAAGAAATAATGGTAGTTGAAGCTTACCATGAATATCTCAAAGCCGTAAATGTCAAGAACACCAATATTGATATCCAATCCATCCTTCTTCATGGCAGTGTTGACCATCTACATGTACATGTACATAAAATTGAGAATTAAATTTATAATTTTTCTAGACTATTGCATGCAAATTATGTGCACATGTATGTCTTGTATGTGTTGTATATGGGAGATGTATGTATTATGTAACATTATATAAACACATGTTTTCTTAATGTGTAAATTCACTTTCAATTATAACTGCCTCTCATTTCA